GCCATCCTTACTGGTGTGAGGTGATATCTCATGTGGTTTCAATTTGCATTTCCCTGATGATTAGTGATGTGGAGCATCTTTTCATGTGTCTGTTGGCCATCTGAATTTAAGAAGTTTCTGAACATACTCTTCAGCAAACAGATAACTCAGCCCACCTTGGAGGAAGGGCGACAGTCTTGACTGATAAGCTCCCAAACCAAGAAGCTGCTATCTTGGGAGGGGACCAAAGCAGTAAATTTTTTGTGTTAAGCTAATTTTGCAAAATTACCTAGAGGACTGATAAGAAAATTAATGTCTCATCAAAGATAAACATCTTGAGACCACTTAACAAGCCACACCCCGAGCCCTTTGTCGCATTCCTGAAAAAATCCTTAAAAGGGGGAACCCCCAGGCTTTCAGTGTGCTCCTCTCTCTCATCCGCATGTTTTAAGTGTGTAAACTTTTTGTCTTAAGCCTTTTTCCCAATCTTTCAGGGCGCCTCTCCTCCCTGAGGTTGCCTGTACTTTTCTCTCTTAAGTAAGCAACTTTCAAACGTTTTCTCTGCTTCACTCTGTGTCTCTGCCCTTCAGCTCTTTGCTGCGGTGGGGACAGGAACTGAGGAGAATACACAAGGCTCCCCCCAACACACCCACCCACCCACCCATCATCCACCCACCCACCTGCCCATCCATTAGTCATTCCGTCAGCCATGAAGCCACTTTCCGGTCCAGCCAGCCCCCACCCCTTCTATCCTCAGCAAAGCAGTCATCTCTGCAGCCATCGCCCAACCTCCTACTACGCAAAGCCAGCATGTGGGTGCGGAAGAGCCTCTCCCTCACCCACAGGCCTGATTCACTTCCAAGCCTCAGTCTCCTTATCCGGAAGAGGGGCATGTGTATGCTCAAAGAACCTGCCCAAGGTCGCTATGAGCTTTAGATAATGACACCCACGTAGGTGGCAGCTATTACATTGTGTTATTAATGTAATCATTGTTATTATAAGACAATAATAAGGTGGCTGCTGCAGTGAACCTGATGAGGGGTCGGTCCAGCTTGCCTGCCAAGATGTTGACTCTGACAGATGATCCGGAAAACCAGTTAAACCTGTAGGTGACAGTCCGGAAGGGATAAGCATCCAGTGGGGAGGGAGATGAAGCAGTGGACCCCGCCTGCAGAGGAGGAATGAACGGAGGTGGGGCCGGCAACAGTCCCCAGGACATTCTGCGTGCAGGTGCCCACCGTGGGACCCGGAGCTGCGGCTGGCTGGACACCAGACCCCTGCCCAGTCTGGAGCAGGGTGGTCAGGAAGGTGGGCTGGCCTTGGGCTCACCTTCGTTCACCTGCTCCTGCAGGAAGATGCCCAGACCGCCGAGTGGAACTCAGGACTCGGCCAGGGCCTGAAACCCCAGCGCCGGCACTTACTGGCTGTGGGGCTTCAGGCCAGCCCCTGAAGCACCTCAGTGCTTATCTATACAATGGGGACAAGTAGTGAGCATTAAGAAGGTTCATTCATGTAAAGCACTTGGAACTGAGTCTGGCACGTCCTTAAAGGAGGAAAGGCTCTGGAGCAAAAGGCAGGAGACCTGCCGTCCTCTCAGCCTGACCGCACAGACCAGGGGCCTCCAACCCCACGAGTCCCTCATGTCACAGTCGTGGGCACCAGAAGCCTTGTGTATCTGGCTGCTTCCTCTTCTCCAGGCCTCACAAGGCCGAAACCGAGGGGTCAGCCCGGCTGCCTGCCTGCCTTCAGGCTCTGGGGATGAACCAGCTTCCAAGCTCATTCAGGTTCTCGGCAGAACTCAGGTCCTGGTGGCTGGGAGGAACTCCAGCTCCTTGCTGGCGGTCGGCAGGGGTCCTTCTCAGCTTCTGGGACATCCACATACCTGAAGGGCGGGACACCCCCACACCTGAAGGAGGGACACTGCATACCTGAAGGAGGGACACCCCCATGCCTGAAGGAGGGACACCCGCATACCTGAAGGAGGGACACCCCCATATCTGAAGGAATCTGCTGATTCAGGGTGGGTTCCCCAAGGCCCTCCCCAGACCCACTAGTCAGGTCCCAGGGGAGGACACCAGGGCTCTTCTCCAGAGCCGGGGCTGAGAACTCCAGGGCAGGAAGCCTCATCCCCAGAGGGACGGAGGGAGGCTCAGGCTCTGACAGGCCAGCCTGACAGGCTGCAGTCACACCCTCCGCCCAGGAGGTCAGACCCGGTTCAGACTCCCTCAGCACTTATGGGGATGTTACCATCAATTTTGAAGCCTCAGTTTCCCCATCTGTAAATGGGGGAGGGGGTCCAAAGCATGCCACGTTGCTGAGCAGTGGTGTAGGGAAGCACATGGCCCCACTGGACAACTGCCACGGCTAGTGGGGGGAGAATTCTCTCCTTCCCCAGAGCAATCTCAGCGCCCCTTTCCTTAGTTTGAAATGTTTGTTGTTCTGTTTATGTCACACCCAGACTCTTAGGTTCAAAAAGAAACAGCAAACCCAGACCTTACTACAGCTTTCCCTGCCCCAGGCACGCGGCCGGTCTGACATTTCCCCATCAGCATCGTGAGGGAATCATGATTAAAAAACCCTGGTAAAAACCGCGAGGTCCCCTGCCCCAGAGGGTCACGCACACTCCCTCCTTTCCTTCCAGCGAGACGCTCTGCTCCGCACGCCCCTCGGAGCATCTCTACTTGCTGGAGGGGCCGCTCCTGCAGGAATCACTTAATGAAGCTAATGACACTTCAAATCTATCCCTTGAATTCTGTTTTTTAACACTGTATCATCTTCTTCCTTTCCTCGGATTTGCAAACTAGAGAAAATGACCCTAAAGCTGCTAAAATGACTTTGTCAGCAGAAATACTTTATTTTAGCCTGTTGGGGGGGAAAAGGGGCAGAAAAGGGCATCCCTCTCCTGGGTTGTTAAGTTCCCTGGCGGCAGCCGGCCCCCGGGACGCGGTCAGCACGGAGGGCAGCGGGGGGGCTGGAGGGGCGGGGCTGGAGGGGCCAGTCAGGCTGGACGCCCCGCCCCCAAGTCCGGCCCCGGTGCCAGGGAGGCCAGCCTGCCCGCCTCGCCGAGGCTGCAGGGGGCCCACGCGGCCGGGTGTGAAGGCGGGCGGGGACCCGGGGCGGGGCGGAGCCTGCGGAAGCCCGCCCGGCCAGGCCCCGCCCCAGACTCCGCCCACACACCAGCCCCTGGGCTCCGCCTCCCAGGCCCCGCCCCCGCCAGTCCCGCTTCCCGCCGCGACCGGACCGCCGCCGCCGCGATGTGGGCCGCGCTGCTGCTGCTCTGCGCCGGGCTCCTGGGCGCCCCTGCCCGCGCCGCCAGCCTGCCCGCGAGCCCCTTAGGTACCGGAAGGGGTCACGGGCCGGGCGCGACTCTGGGAAGGTGGGGGGCGCCCCCGGGGGCTCCGTGGAGGGTCGGGGTCCGAGAGGGGCGCGCTGCGTCCCGGGGGTCGGGAGGTCGCGGAGCGGCCCCGCTGCCCCCGCGCCCTGGCACGGGTAGGACTTGCTCTTCCTCCGCCACGCGCGGGCAGGGACTTTCCGTCCCCTCCCAGCAGCTTCCTGGGGGCCGGCGAATAGGAGTCCGTGCAGGTACTCGGGGAGCGCTTGCGTGGGACCCGCGGGGACCGCGGGGAAGCGACCGTCCTGAGAGCAGCAGCATTTAACCCTTGAAAACGAAGCGCCTTCGTTCCGTGGGTTCACGGTGCCGGGTCAGGCCCCAGCATTCCCCGTTTTTGGCCAGGTGGGGCCTGCCCGCCTCCCTCCTGCCCAGGTGCCCCACCTTCAGCCTCAGCCCGCCATCCGTGGGGCCCTGAGCTCACAAGACGTCCATCCCCCTGTTGTCGGGCAGCCGCCTCTGGGGAGGTCTCTCCCTGCCCCCCAGGTGAGACCTCAGCCTGGATGGGGGAGGGCTGCTGGCTCTGATGGAGAAAGAATTCTCCAGCAGGTCGGATGGGTGCAGGTAAGGAAGGAATTCATTAAAGCAAGAGGGGTAACAGGTGCCATGCAGGCAGCAGAGAGGAGGAGGGGCAGAGGGAGGCCCGGGAGGCCCGCTGAGCGCCTGCCCTGCACAGGGCGGGTCCCTCGCCAGCTCCTGAAGCCAGAGTCCCCTGCATCCAGAACCTGCTTGGATCTGCACGGTGTGGGAACTAAGCCCCCACCACCCCAGGATTTGGGGGAGCCTCAGAACACCGAGTGGAGGGAGATTATGTGCTGAAAACTTACCAAAGGCAAAGACAAGATTTTCAGACAGGTTGCTAAAGAGCATGATGGTACAGCCACAGTCCTGTCCAGGTCACCCAGGGGACGGGACCTTGCAAGCCCAAATCGGAGCTCTCAGTTGAACAGAGAGAGTGAAGACTCATGCTTAAGTCTAGACAATTGAATGATATCGTGAAGTAACAAAGACGCTCAGCACTGGAAGAGCTCACAGACAAAACGCAGTCAGTTGAGCAGTGAGAGGAGGGCTTTATTTAAGCCGAAGTACACACTCGAAAGGGGGGTGCGGGCAACCTCAGAGAGGACATACTTAAGGGTTAGGACTCTTTTAAGGCTTTCAACAATGGGGCACAGGGTGGGGTAGGGGGTCAGCGTAGGCTTGACATATGATCTCAGGATGTCTCTGCAATGAGAGGCGCTGTGATGTCATCCATAGTCCATCCTGTATATATTCTGTAAGATCAACAAGGAATGTATTGATTCTGTTCTCCAGGATAGTGGTCGCCCTCAAGCAGTGGGGACAGGCCAGTTAGGACCGCCTGCCCTGCCTTAAGATAGGGTGTTGGCTGATTACCATAAGTATGTCAGGAATCTTACCTCCTAACTCTCTACTTTTTAAAATGGAAACTTAGCCTTAAGATGGAGCCCCTCCTGTTCTTACTACACTGTTTATATCTCTGCATTTTTCATCACTGGCAGGAAAAATTAATCATGATGCTTGTCCCATGTGCCGGTCCTCCCTCACCCCTGCCCGGGGACAGAGAAAAGTAGCAAAGAACAGCCTGTACTGGGCACAGATCCTGGGGGCCGAACCTTGCCGCCTTATTTACACAAGGCAGCCCCCAAGCCTTGCACACCCGGGGTGTGCCTGCTCCAGGTCAGTCCCAGGAAATGCGGCGCCCCCGGCGAGGGCGTTCTCTGCCCTGGTGGTGCGGCGTGCACCGAGGCGTGCACCGAGGAGAGCCGAAGCCATCGTTAACTCCAGAGTCAGTAACAGTGAAGAGGCTGATGGTCATATTTTAGATTTCGTGGGCCATACAGTCTCTGTAGCAACTACTTAACAGTGCCGGGAAAGTGCCCGGACGGGCTGTGAGTGAGCATGACTATGTCCCATAAACCTGTGTTTTTGATAGACACTGAAATTTGAATTCAAATGATTTTCAGGTGCTGCACAACGATGTATTTTTTCAATCATGTGAAAGTGTAATGGAAAGGTTCTTTAGATCATGGGCCATACAAAAACAGGCCATCGTGTCCTGCCCCCCGTTCTAGGTCCTCCCCCACGAGGCCCCTGGAGAGGGCCTACGTAAGTGACTTCCAGAAGCCACACGGGGCCGACGTGGCTCCGAGGTTGGGGTGCAGGGTCCCCAGCCCCAAGATCATCCCTGCCGTTTTCTTCCACTGACGCCCGGCCAAGGAGAAGTAATGCCGGGTTTCCAAGTGTGCTGGTTGGGTCTGAAACCCCCCAGGAGTGAGTGCTAGTCAGCTGTCCTGGCCTCCTGAAGCCCTCACTTGCGGCCGCCCACCCAGTTGGGACCTGGAGCGTTTGGTGGCCCTGGGCAGGCCGCACAGGGAACCTTGCATTTTTGTCACAGGGAAATGGCGGTAGCTTGGTTTCTGGAGCAGGTCTGTGATCCACAAAGGGAGATGTAGACACTGCACAGACTGGGGGAGGGGTGGATCCTTCAGGGACACAAAAAAATCCCGACTGGAATCGACGTCCAGACCCTCTACTTCCAGAGGTCCCCTTTGCTCAAACTGAGGTGCCTGGAAAAGTGCCTGAGGGCAGGCAGGACCCCTCTCACTGATCCTGACCCTGAGCCGCTGGGGTGAGCATCAGAGACGCAGAGCAGGACGTGGTAACCTGGCCTTCCCTCGGCGGTTGTCTGTTCTTCAAAGAACTGAAATCAAAGAAGAGAGGACCTCACCAAGGGTCAGCGGACAGGGCCTCAGAAATGATGTTGGGTGCTAGGGCATCCCATGATGGGCCAACGCCCGGGGACTGTGGGACAGGCTCTAAAAAGGCCTCCCATTCCCAGGCCTGGGTCTACCCATCCTGCTTACTCAGGCAGAATTTCTCGGCCCTTTGACCTTTCAAAAAACAAAAACCAGAATGAATGCTGACTCATTCAAAAAACAGGTAATATGCGCCCATGAATATATATATCCATGGTAGGCGTTGTTAGTAGATGCATCATTAAGAGATGCATTTCTAATACTTACATCACTTGAAATATTTTAATCGGTTGGAGTGTTAGTAATGATGATGCTTACTCAATCCAGAATGATTATTTGTAATATTCAGAGGTGTGCGGGTCACAGGAAATAAAAATAATTTAAATTTATACTTTCTGTTCTTAACGTCCATACGAGCACGTTAGGGAGATCTATACAAACATATGCTCCCTGAGGATAAAATTCTGAGCTGTGGATGGAGGTGGGGGTTCAAGGAGAAAAGGAAACTATGAGAAGTACCAAGCTCTTCGAGAAGAGTTTGTATTTTCGATGGTGGGCATCAAATCATGGTAGATAGATTACACTAGCTTTAAAAGAATGATACAACAGTCATTTTTAAATGTCAGTATTTACAATAAGTTGGAATACATCCTCTGCAATGATTTAAATTTAAAAAAATGGAACTTTTAGATAACTCACAAATGTACAAGGCGGGTATGCCTGGGCTATAGCGGAGGTCCACAAATGGCCAGCCTGCTTTTGCAAATAAAGTGTTAACGGAGCACGGATACCTCTCCCCGTCCCCCCCTCCCAACTTACAAGGACGCGGTTGAGTAGCTGTGACAGAGACCCGACAGACTGTGAAGTCTAAGATATTATTTGTCCCTTTTAGAAAAACTTTGCTTACCCTTGGGGGAGACAGGTTTGTAAATTAACTTCTCATTGAACTATAACACACAGAAAAGTGCACAAATCATTAGATAGGCATTTCAGTGAACTGCCCCAATCTAAACACACTTGTGTAACCAGCACCCAGATGAAGAAATAGAACTTCCCCAGCACCCCGTAAACTCCCCCACTAAGGATTACCACCAACCAAGCTTTCAACTCCATAGGTTAATGGCTTATAATTTTTCAAATTTGGGGTCCCAAAGCAGAGTTTGAGTTCCTTTCTTCATTCTGTGCTAGATCACACCATTTTTGGTGCTTTAAATTTAGCCTCATTTCCTAAAATGCAAATCAGTTCTAAAGGGCCCAGCTTGGCTTCCACCCCTCCTGGGAGGAACTCAGGCGTATTTTTTTTTTCTTTCTACAGAACAGTTTCACTTCAAGTCATGGATGTTGCAGGTCAGTGTTCAACTTCAATCTGGAGTTTCTCATTTCAGTTTCCTGTTACCAACCCAAACTGTGCCAGGCCCTCCCCCGGGGCCTTTCCGGACTGGAAATTGGCCAAACCCTGGGAGAGATTCAGTGAAGTAAAATCCCCAGTGGTGCAGTTGGCTGGTAGCCTCCAAGCCTTGGGATTCCTGTAGAGTCTGCATGCAGGCCACACGGCTGTGGGTCGCCTGGGGACACTAGTGCGCGTGCTTTGGGGACATGGCGGCTTTCGCTGTAAATATGACCCAGCTCCAGCTGCGCTGTCCAGGGAGGTCCTGCACGTGGCAGGCCTCTCCCAGGGCCTCCTGGGCTGTCGGCTGACTGTCAGGCAGCAGCTCAGCCTCATTCCGCCCCGTCCCAGGAGACAGGGTGTGGGCTTTGTAACTTCTGGTCGCAGAGGCCCACCTCCTGACACAGATGGGCCTGGCAGAAAGAAAACCTTCATCCCTCCTCTTAGAAAACAAAACTGTCTCCTGCTCAGGGGCTGCATCCTGTTTCAGTGACTTACTGCTGATGTATTTTGTTTTAGCACCAAAAGAAATACAGCCCAGAGGAGAACCACCACAGGCTGCAGACCTTCGTCAGCAACTGGAGGAAGATAGCCGCCCACAATGCTGGGAACCACACCTTTACGAGTACGTGGGGAGTCTCTCCTCCCGGCTTTCAGCCCCTGGGAGCGGGGAGCATCCCCGATCTGGAGAGCAGGGGGTCACTGACACGCTATCAAAGTTTTAAAGTTAAGCACTTAAAGAGAGAAAAAGTGAAAAAAAAAGAGAGAGAGAAAGTACAGGCGTGCTCAGAGAGGAGGTACACCTAAGGGTTTAGGGTGTCAGGTTTTATGGGCTGTTCAGGATTTTTCAGGAATGTGACAAAGGGCCGGGCGGTGTGAACTTGTCCCCCCATGCTCGTCTCTGGGGAGAGACACGTCTCCTCTTCTCTATTAATAATTGGTCCACCAGGTAATTCTGCTGAATAAACTGAACACAAGGACCGTATTGATCTGGTTCCTCCACGGGACAGTGACTTCTCTCTGGGGACCGTTTGCCTTGCTTTAGGTGGGTTGGGTCTGTTTACTAAAGAAAGCATTAGGAATCTTACTTCTTGACTCCCTGGGTTTTAAGATGAAATCTTAGCCTTAAGATGGAATCTCTCCTCTTCTTACTATGCTGTTTATCTCTGGGTGTTTTGTTTTGTTGGAAAATTAATCATGATGCTTGTCTCCTGCCCTGGTTACAAAGTTACTTGATTAGGGGCTGGAGGAAGAGGAGAAAAAACAGCATATAGGCAAACTTAAAGAATAAGCTGGGCCTGGAGCAGGCTGAAGTAAATCTTACAATTGCTGATCTAATAGACACGGGGAAGACGTGGGCTCTGCTCGGATACTTTTCTTTATCTAGGGAATCCGACTTTCCAAGTTGCTCCCGGCCTATGGAGCATCACCTGAGTAGCTCACTAATGTGAGTCTTTTCTGGCTCTAGTTCTATCTGGCTCACTCTGAGCCCTTCTCGTGGGCTTTACTGGCCTTATTCTCCCTTCACCGGCTCATATCTGTTTTTCTGCCTAACAGTGGGACTGAACCAGTTTTCAGATATGAACTTTGCTGAATTCAGACGCAAGTATCTTTGGTCAGAACCACAGGTAAGTGTCATTCATTGTGACCAGATCTGAATCTTCCCACTCAGACTTTGGAATAAGCTCCCACCTGCCCTGCAGCCCAGCGGCAGTGGGGGTGCCCAGGGTCCTGGGGTAGGCAGGGAGGTCAGCACAGCCTCAGTCACACTCATGGCCTCAGCAGTGCAGACCCCAGACTCAGGGCTGCCAAATTAAAGTACAGATGTCTAGTTAAAACTGAATTTCAGATAAATAAGAAATATTTTAGCATAAGCATAGTCTCACTGTTACATAGGACATGTTTTGTTTTTTTGGAAACACTACCAAGTTACTCACCATTTATATGAAACTCACATGTAACTGGGTGAACTAATTTCGTTTGCTCAGTCTGGCTGCACTGTCCCCACGCCCCCGATCTGGGCTCTCAGAGGCCCTGTCACTTAGCAGTTGGAGCCACTAAGCGGGGCAGGGTGGTTCTGACAGCCAGTTTTTCTTGGTCTCTCCTGGTAATTGCACACTTTTCTTTCCTCCTGAAAAAAATACATTTGGTTGTTCCAGAATTGCTCAGCCACCAGAGGTAACTACCTTCGGGGTACTGGTCCCTACCCACCTTCCATGGACTGGCGGAAAAAGGGAAATTTTGTCTCACCAGTGAAAAATCAGGTATGCACAGCAACCCCTGTCATTTCTCCCCAAAATAGCCACATTCTCAGACAATAAACAGAAAGAAAAACTCAACCCCAAACTATGCCAAGTGTATCCCCAGCCCTGTGTCTTCATCTGAAAAGCGGCAAGGTTGTTATTTCTGTGGGCTGCCTGAAATCCAAAAAAAGTCCCCCTTTGTTGGTCTGGAATTCGCTGCAAAGACCCCGCCACCTCCTCCGATTCCCCCGAGGCCCCAGGTCTCCCCTGTAACAGGGCCACCTAAGCCACATACACCCTGATCCTTCAGAGGTGGGGCGCCAGGACCTGTCCTCCGTCCTCCATGGGGCTGAGGATGGCCACTGGCCAGAGGGGCTCCAGTGCGTCCTGTCCCCAGCGTCTGGGCCCCACCCCCTGCATCCCCGCCCCTGGAAGGGAAAGGGCGGTGCCTTAAAAAACAGGGGAGACAAGGTGGAGCTTTCCTTCCTGGAAACACCGGCTTTGCACTGAAACTCCCCAGGAGAAACATTTTATCCCTCTCCTTGAAGCTGTGGGGTACAGCTTCAAATCTCCTGGGGTCTCTGGGCTCCTGGACCTGCCAAGTGACCCCGACATTTAAACAGCACCTGGAGTTGGAACGAATCCCCCCTCCCAGCAGTCAGTGGGCTGCACAGAGCCAGCCTCTCCTCCTCGAGCCGATGGCAGGTTTAGAATTTGAGGCAGGGGCCAGAACCCAGTGGTCGCTCCCATGGGCCCGTGGCACCTCACTGTGGCCACCACGTGGTTACAAATACTGATCTAATCTTAGCAGCCACTGAGGGGTCCTCACTTCAGAGGGAAGTGCAAGAAAGAGGCTTGTCTGGAGCCCACAGTGGGCCGGGGACCGAGTGGTCTCCAAACCTGGGGCCCAGGTGAACCTGCTCTGCGTCCATGGTGGCTGAGGCCCCCTCAACTGACTCAGGCCCCCTGACCAGGTCCCCGTCCCTGCCAAGGGAAGGCCGAGAGGACGACAGGAGCAGGCGTCCCCTCCCGGGACAAGCAGGGAGGACCGAACTCAGGCAGCAGTGTGCGCAGGGCGTGGACAGCCTTGGGGATATTCCAGTAGAATATGGGGTCGGACAGGCAGGAGCGTCACAGCCAGCCCCTCAGCCAGTTCCCTGTGGTGCTGCCAGGAGGGGAGGCGGCCTGGGAGTCAGTTTGGTCGTGCCTGTGATGGAAGGATAGTGAAGGTGGGAAGGTGAGAGAAGGTTCTAGAACCAGGACTTGGTGCATCCTGCTGGGACCCAGGGAGGAAGAGCAGCGTAAGTGGAGGGCTGCCACGGGGTTGGTGGGGGGGTCGGCAGGGCTGCAGCCCCTGTGGGCGGGGGTTCAGTGGGTGCTGCGGATCCGGCTCTTGGACGCGCCCACGTCACCTCCCGGCCACATGGGGAGATGCCTGGCCTGGCAGGGCACTGTGGCCAGAGTGGGCACATGGGAACCAGCTCTGTGGTCTAAAGGCCTCAGGCGCCCCTGCTGTCCGGGTGTCTGACCTCTGACCCTACCTGTGGCTGCAGGGTGGCTGTGGCAGCTGCTGGACTTTCTCCACCACGGGGGCCCTGGAGTCTGCGGTTGCCATCGCTGGCGGGAAGCTGCTATCTCTGGTAAGCAGTTGGCCCAGGGTGCAACCCCGGCTTCGCCTGAGGCCTCCCATGCGGGGAGGACAGGCTGGGCCTTCAGCTCTGCTAGAGCTTCAGTAAGAAGCTGTTCCGGGTCCCAGGCACGTATATCTTGACTGGGAAAGAATTGGGCCTGCAGAGGAAACAGTCCAAGGGCTCTTCCCTGGGGGACTCGGCTATCTGGGCCTTTAGGAAGCAGAGCCTGCCTATGCGGCAGCTCTGAGGTGCCGTGCCCACCCCAGGCTGCCTCAGTTGTCTTCGTGGAGGGATAAGCCCCTCGCCCTCGAGAGCAAGGGGTGTGGGCCTCTGAAGGAGGCCTCCTTTGTGGGGAAGAGGGACGGTAGAGGGCAAGGCCTGGGGTTGAGGAAAGGGGGAGCTGGGTCTCCAGGTGGGCATGTCCCCTCTGCTACCAGGGCACCCATGACCGGCCTGCCCACACATACCTGCAGGGCAGGCTTAGACAGGCGACCCTCCCAGGCCCTCTCATCTGCATGCTTGCTGCCAGGCGCAGCCCCCGCACGCAGATACACCTGGGGTTGTACAGCTGTGGCCCCTGCCCTCAGGGAGCTTACAGTCTGGCCATCGAGGTGCCAAGCTGAGGGGGCTGTAGGCTCCCAGCTGCCTGCTGCCCAGTCTGTGTTCCTTCCTGTAGGCAGAGCAGCAGTTGGTGGACTGTGCTCAGGACTTCAACAACCATGGCTGCCGAGGGTATGTGCGCATGAGCCCGTTTGCTGCGCCCACGTCTGTGGGACCCAGTGTGCCGGGAGCTGCCACAGACACAGTGTCCCCACCTGGGTGACAGCAGTCGCCCCCATTTCTGGGGCCCTCAGCCAGGACGGGCAGAGCTGTACCCCAAGCCCAGGCCTGCTGGTTCTGAAATCCATCCCCCATGGTGTCGCCCACCCTCAGCGCAGGGGCGGTGGCCTCGTCTGCTACCAAGGCTTCTGGGCAAGTGGCCGCAAGAATTCAGAGTGAGAAACACCCCCCTCCAGTAGCACCCGCCACAGGCGTCTGCAGGTTCCAAGCTCTGCCCCCAGCACCCTGGCTGGGCGAGGGGCTCTTCTGTAAAGTGGGGAGCTGCTTGGAAGGAAGGCTGTGTCTTCCCGGGCCTGCCTCCTGGGCCACTCTCAGAATGGTCAGGGACTCGCTCCTGTCACCACATCTCCAGCCCTGGCCTCTTTCTGAAACAGTCTGTGGTCGGCTCTCCTGCACAACCCAAAAGGCCAGGCCCTCGTGTTCCCCCTGAGCAAGCTCCCGGCCTGGCCCCCACCTCCCTGCCTGCACCCGGCACAGCCCACCCTCCCAGGCCTGCCATGCCCCAGCTCCTCCTCCCACAGCTGAGTCCTGGGACAGGCTTCACCCACTGCGGCCATGGCCACCGGGAGGGCCTCCTGCAGACCTGTTCTAAGCGAGGCCTTGGGAGCCCTGGGCAAAGTCAGGCCCATTTGCTGACGGCCCTCACGTTCCCTCCTTTTCTGGTCTCATTCCTCTGCAACTTACAAACCACCCAGAGCAAGAATCGGAAAGGCACCCTGGGCCCGGGGCCTTCCAGAGTGGCTGTGCCCTTTGGCTTAGTTCTTCATTGGTTTGGCCAGTGGCTCCGCGGCTGCCACGCACCTGAGCTCTGGGGCTGCAGGGAGCACGTCCCCACCAGACCAGGCTGGCCACGAGTAGGTGTGCATGGCCCTGTGACAGTACTGGGGCTGTGGGTGGGCTCTCCCTGGCCAGCAGCACGACACAGAAAGACCGACCTTTGGAACCAGATGCTGTTTAGCTATGGCCCCAGTAAGTTGTTCGACCACTTTGTGCCTCAAGAAGTACCAGCATCCACCACACAGGCTGATGGGAGGGTCAGAGCACCTGCCCAGTGAGGGCCAGTGGGCCTCAAGGTGGTGATGATGGGGAGCTGGGCTCATCCCATTCACCGTCCCGTGGCACCACCTGTTCCTCCAGACAGAGGGGCCCCGGCCCCGGCTCTTAGGCCTCCGCAGGGGTCTCCGTCCCACTGAAGCACGTGGGGTGGTCCTTGGACTCCAGTAGCGTCTGCACCTGTCTGCTCCCTGCAGGGGTCTCCCGAGCCAGGCCTTTGAGTACATCAAGTACAACAAGGGCATCATGAGCGAAGACACCTACCCCTACAAGGGCCAGGTAAGCCCAGTGGCCGGGCCCCGGCTGCCCCCCACCTCCCCGGGTCACCCTGCCCCTCCTGCCTGGAGCTGGGGCTTGACACCCAGGGAGCTCGGCTGTGCCCTGTGCTCCGTCCCTGACCCCTGCAAGCCTGGGCCCGCAGCTGCCCACCCAGGGCCTCTCCCACCATCAGATCTTCCCCTGCCCCCAGCTTGACCCTGCCGGGCTCACCTCAGCCTGCCACACCTGTGGCCAGGGCCCTCGTCTGCCCCAAACCTGCAGCTCCACCTGGATGTTCTCAGGAAGGGGCAGAATGGGCCTCCTCAGAACCACTCTGGGGGCAGCCCCCACCCCACCTTCTAACCGTCTGCTGCTTGGGGCCATCACGTCCCAGCCCCACCAGCCCTCAGCCTCCCCAAGTCTGGGGCCTCCCACCCCCGGGGCTGCCAGGGGCCCGAGGCCCAGGTCTGACCATACATCTGCGTGGCCACGCTCTGCAGAGGCCCCCCAGCCCGCCTCCCCGTACCCCCCTGGCCCTGCTCTCCAGCCACCTGCCGGCCAGTTCCCCAGCACCAAGTCCTGCCTCTGCCGTGGTTCCCACTCCTCTCCTGTCCCGGAGGGGCTGCTCTCGCCTCCATGTAACCCACTCGTTGCCTCGTCAGCAGGATTCCTTCACAGAAACACCCCCTCAAGCCACTCAAGCTCTTCCTCAGCCCCGTTTCTCAGCATGTTTTCTTGTCCTGGGTCAGGCCCCCCCTGGGCTCCTCCCACCCCTGCTGGAAACAGCACAGGCCCCTCGGCCCGGGGGCTGTGAGTTCCTTGGGGCCAGGGGTGCTCCCCTTGCTCCACAGCAGCCCCGTTACCAGGCCCTGGCACCTGTAGCTTTGCTCCGTAAATGTTACCATGCTCAGGAGCCCGCAGCCAGCTGGCCCAACACCATAACCTGTGTTCCTTGCCCTTTGCTGCCTTGAACAGGACAGTGACTGCAAGTTCCAGCCCAGGAAGGCCATTGCATTCGTCAAGGATGTGGCCAACATTACAATCGTGAGTACCGGATCCCCCTCTGCGGGTGGGATGTGTTCTGATGAGCAGGCCAATCAGGTGGCCCACGGGCACAGCAGGGCAGCCCTTCCTGGCAGCTTATCTCTGATGAAAAGGTTTCGATTGTCGGACCCTGAATCGCCGTGGAGGCAGCGTGGTGGACGGTGGGAGGGAGAGAGCATGCAACCGGTTCTGACCTGGGTCTGTGCAGGTCTGTGTTCTGTCTCAGCCTCGTCTGTAAAATGCAAGCAGTAATCCCATCCTGCAAAAGCTGTTGCCTCGTCAGCAGGATTCCTTCACAGAAACACCCCCTCAAGCCACTCAAGCTCTTCCTCAGCCCCGTTTCTCAGCATGTTTTCTTGTCCTGGGTCAGGCCCCCCCTGGGCTCCTCCCACCCCTGCTGGAAACAGCACAGGCCCCTCGGCCCGGGGGCTGTGAGTTCCTTGGGGCCAGGGGTGCCCCCCTTGCTCCACAGCAGCCCCGTTACCAGGCCCTGGCACCTGTAGCTTTGCTCCGTAAATGTTACCATGCTCAGGAGCCCGCAGCCAGCTGGCCCAACACCATAACCTGTGTTCCTTGCCCTTTGCTGCCTTGAACAGGACAGTGACTGCAAGTTCCAGCCCAGGAAGGCCATTGCATTCGTCAAGGATGTGGCCAACATTACAATCGTGAGTACCGGATCCCCCTCTGCGGGTGGGATGTGTTCTGATGAGCAGGCCAATCAGGTGGCCCACGGGCACAGCAGGGCAGCCCTTCCTGGCAGCTTATCTCTGATGAAAAGGTTTCGATTGTCGGACCCTGAATCGCCGTGGAGGCAGCGTGGTGGACGGTGGGAGGGAGAGAGCATGCAACCGGTTCTGACCTGGGTCTGTGCAGGTCTGTGTTCTGTCTCAGCCTCGTCTGTAAAATGCAAGCAGTAATCCCATCCTGCAAAAGCAGGTGTGGATGTGTGTGGCATCGTGTGTGTGTAAGAGACCAAGTGCAAGCTCACCAAGATGTGTTAGCCAGGATAGGCCAGGTCATGCCACAGGGACAGGAGCCCCCGAATCCGAATGGCTCGGGACGACCGAAGCTTTTGTCTCCCTCGTGTGACTGTCTGTCGGCCCTACAGCTCCCACTCTGCTGTGGGTGTCACTCCAGGGCCGGGGCAGACGCAGAGGCGAACTACTCACTGGCTCTGAGAGCAGAGCACACACGGCACGCCTGGCCTCCGGCGGACAGGGCCCTGTTGTCCCAGAGAGACCAAGGATGTGGGAGCACCCTGTGCCTCCCGAGCCTGCGTGTGACGCGTGCAGATGGGAGCGTGAGGCTGACCACATGTGCCCACAAGCACATGCCAAATGCTCGGCATGGTGCTGACGGCTCTGGAGCGCGTGCCGGAGCTGCCCCGGCAGTCTCCCCCTCGCAGCCTCCCCCTCACATGCCGGCCAGCCCGCGGCCTGTCATCGGAAGAGCAGGCAGGCTCAGGACAGGTTCAAACCAAGACCGCAGGACCAGGATGTGGAAGCTGACTGTGAATTGAGACCATGGCCTTCTAGAACCTACACCTGTAATGGGGATGGTACAGAGGCCGTGAGAAAAGCCAGTTTCTCTTAAACACATCCACCAAGGGATGACCTGCTCTGGGCTGTTTGTGTCTCACTCAAGAGGTGAATCAGGGGGACAAAAGTATCCCTGTTGCCTGGTGCCCAGGAGGGCCTGGCAGGGCCCTAACAGGCAGGCCATGGCAGGATGGATGGCCGTGGATCAGGCAGGCCCCACAGCAGTGCCCGCCTGGTGGGCAGGCCTCTATGCCTACCTCGTCTCCACCTGACGTGTGGGCTCACAAGGCCTTTTCTGAGCATGGGGCAGGGGCAGTTGGGTCTCTGCCCACCCCTCATGACCCAACCCCGCACCCGGTTCCCTTGGCCGGAGCCCTGGCCTCATCGCATGACTTCCCATTTCCACTCCCAAAGGTCTCCAGCCAGGGGCACAGCCCTGTTAGCTGACCTGGCCCAGTGGTTCCCAGCTGGGATGCTTCAAAAGCTCCTGGTGCCTGGGCCCCCTACCCCCCAACGCTGACGGTCCAAGTGCGGCCTGGGCATCGGTGTTCTGAAGCCCCTGCCCATACCTGGTCTCTGTGGCTCTGTCCCAAAGCCTCTGTCATCCTCCTACCCATCTGCCCAGCTGGGGGCCCCAAGTCCTCCACAGGTCCTTTCCTTCCACTGTCTCATCTGCTCGTGGACCTCTAAGCTCTGTGTTCTACCAGAAGAGCTCCTTAGACTGGCTTTGTGGGTGCAAGGAGTCCAGAGGGCGAGGGTGGGGGAGTTACATCCCTCTCTGCCCACCTTGGAGCCCCTGGCCCCACTCCAGAGGGAGGGAGGAGAGATGGCCAGACAGGCCAGCCCAGCTAAGGAGACGGAAGCCACAGGGAACCAGTTTTTGGAGGGGAACTGCTAAGCCAGTAAAATCCCCAAAGGGTTCTGGCCACTCGGGAACAGGAGATTGGGGTTCCCCATACCACCCCAACGTGCTGTGAGGAGGGGGCAGCCTACTTCTTCGGTCTGAAACAGCCTCATCTTCTGCCCCTGACCTGCCCCCACCTTGGGACCAAGGGCCATGTGTGGAGGGGAGGTGACAGAGGTGGTGTGTGCCCACCTGCACTCTGTCTGTCTACAGAATGATGAGGAGGCCATGGTAGAGGCGGTGGCCCTGTACAACCCTGTGAGCTTTGCCTTTGAGGTGACCGACGACTTTATGAAGTACGCTAAGGGCATCTACTCCAGGTGAGCAGGGGTCCCGGCAGCTGCAGGGAGGGACCTGGCGCAGGACCCAGCTCAGCCCCAAGTTCTGGCCCTTGCTGGATGCCGGGCACTGCACATGCCCCCAGCACAGCTCCTGCACAGGTCTCGGACACAGGAAGCAAGGAGGAGGGCTGGGTCCAGGGTCCCACCCCAGAGCTCACTCTTCCTCCGGTTAAGTAAACCCACATTCAAAAATTTGAAGATGTGAAATGGAAGAGAAAGTAGCTTCCCCCAGACCAGAACCAGGCCGGGGCTCTGCTGCAGACCACCCACGAAACCCCGGCCTCGGGGCGCACCTGGGCGGGGCTCCCCTCCCTGCATCCCGCGCCCCTTGCCTGAATGGCACCAAATGCACTCGGCTGTCTGTGCAGCTGGTCCTAGACTCCACCTGGCGTCTCTGCCGCTCCCCTAGTCCGGCTGCCCTCTGTGCTGCTTCCCCGAGGTTTGTCCTCAGCCTCCCATCTCAGACACTCCTGGAACCCCATGGCCAACTGTTTGCCAAGAACTTAAGAGTCCCTGGCTGCCGGCCTGGAGTCTGCCGCACTCGGCCCATAGGTGGGAGCCCCCTTGCCCTGGGCCTGCACAGACCAACGACCAGCAGACCAGTAAGGCGGGACCACTGCGGAGGCCTCTGGAGTTTCTTGGAATTTCCTCATGGAAACTAATTCACTATAATAAATGGAAAGCCTGTATATTTGCTCTAACTACAGATAATCTTAAAAATAAATAGAACAGCAACAAAGTAATGCTGTGAAGCCACTGGACCCTGCTGCCCAAGGTGAGCAGGGCTGCTCCCCGTTAGAAGTGAGGAGCTGAGCAGAACGACAGAACTGGAGAGGACGCCCCCTTGCGCTGTGACTAGACAGTCTATCTGCAGCCCCACGACCATCCAGGCCCTGCGGATTTTGCAGCCTTTTTTGTTTTCATTTTCCAGTACATCCTGTCACAAAACTCCTGATAAGGTAAACCACGCGGTGCTGGCTGTTGGGTATGGAGAAGAAAATGGGGTGCCTTATTGGATCGTGAAGAACTCCTGGGGCCCCAACTGGGGAATGAATGGGTGAGTGGCTTCCAGGTCCCAAATGCTGGGAGATGCATGACTGCCTGGGTCTGGGGGCCTTGGAGGGGGTCTCCCTACCTGTCAGATCCGTGGCTCCTGAGCAGAAGCTGGTCAGCAGGGCCTGCAATAGGGAGGGAACCTCTGTACCCCAAGACCACCTGGCCATCCCTTTCCTGCCTGGGGCCTAGGACTAGCCATCGTGTCGGGCACAGGAATGTCCATAGGACGTGTGACCACTGAGAACTGTCCACCACACAGCCTCTGGGACTCAGGCATGGGGAGGGCCCAGGGCAGCTAGCTCACCATGGGGGGAGGGGGGCACAGCCCTCCAGCAAGGAAGGGCCCTTGGGTGCATAGCCCCGTGTGACTTCACGTTTTTGCTCTCAGACTCCATGTCCCGGAAGGGCTCACTCGGGGGCCCACAAAGCCAGGTTCACTGATTTCCTGGAGATAAAATCAACCCAGTGCCACCGTTTTGAGTCAAGGGTATAAACCCTGGAGTCAGCTCTTGACAAGAACACTCCAGAAAAGACTGTAGGGAGGCGGCCCCCCAGGCCTCAAACTGCTCTCTCTGCCCAGGTACTTCCTCATCGAGCGTGGGAAGAACATGTGTGGGCTGGCAGCCTGCGCCTCCTACCCCATCCCCCTGCTGTGAACAGCCGGCTGGCCACAGCAAGGGGCTCCCGCCGCGGCCCAGGGCGCCTCATCATACCCGCTGTCCCTCGAAACCTTAGAAAAAAATGGAAGAATTCCAGCAGTATCAAGCCGCCCACATCTGCTGACGAAAAGGCCTCAGGTGTGATTTTTAACAATCACACCCACGTGGGCCGGGAATGTTCTTGACCTGTGCCTGGCCGCGTTTCGCATATGGAGAGCACCCCAGCGACTCTCTTCAGGGCTTCCCCTCAGTAAACCTCTGGTGATCACTTCCCGGAGCCAGGCCTGTGCTGTGCTGGGACCAGACACGGCAGCCTGTCTGCCCAACAGGCTCAGCCACAGGCGGAGGCATCGAGGGGCTGATGTCTGGCTGCGAGGGGTGGTGGTGTCACTGCCCACTGGACGCGGTTCCCCGGGGGGACATGGGAAGGAAAGGTACCCGCTCGGTAGGGCAGGGCGGGCCTGAAAGCTGGGGCTTCTGCGGTGGCCTCCACCGGCAGCTCCCTCCCCGGCCCAAACCCAGCAGCACTCCTAGGACTGCCCCCCTTCCCCTACCTGCCCCTTGCTCTGAACACACTGGGATGCTCCTGGGCCCTGCCATCTCCACACCGTCCCATCCCTTTGGAGAAATCCTGGGCTCTGGAAGCAGAGTCTGCTTTGTCCCACAGTCCACAGATTTTCTCAGGAAGAGCGCTTTCCCATCACTGGGGCTCCTATAGAGCCAAAGGCTTGAAAACATTTGAGAAAATATGTTGTTTTCATGACAAGGCTTACTTAGAAAATGTAAATGTGGTTTGATCTATTTGAAAATTCTAGTAACATGAGGCACCACAAGATGTCGGGACAAAAAAACAGTCTTCACATCTCCACCCAGGGGAGACTGTGCAGCACCAGGCAACCCACCCAGCACCCGAGCTGAAAGCAGCACTTGGGGCCCCTCTGCATTGGGGGCTGTGCCCTCCCCTGAGCCTGGTCAGTGAGCCCCCACCACAGCACAATGCCCCCAGGAAGGTTCACACCCCGGCCCCTCCCCCAAGAGGCTGCAGGGAGACTGGTCTGAGCTGCCCAGCACACACTGCTCCCTACTGGGGCCTCAAGTCTTACTTCTCATGGCCAGTTTCTCTTCTCTATTACTGAACATACTGTATGTGCGTTACCCCGATGTTAATGAGACTGAGGGTGTCTGCAGCCTCTTCTGTGTGTCATCTACGTTATCTGCAGGGATGTTATTTCTACCTTGCATTTCTAGGTACTCTGTAGTGGGAGCAATTTCAGGCTATACAGTCTATATGGCCCTGAACCAGCCTCCAGACCTTTCACAAAGGCATGAACACAGCCCTGGAGATACAGATACAGTGTTTATGCCTTAATGAAAATACTGTTCTCCACTTCCCTCTTCCATCCGGCAGCATGTGAAAGCAAGCCCAGCCAGGCAGACAGACTGGCAGAAGTGCACACAGCAGGGAGGGTGAGGGCAGGTGACACAGTGCGGAAGCTGACTCTGCACCTTCACCTCCCCTGACTTTACTCCTGTAATTCACACACTAGCACACAGGAAACTACTAGTTTAGGATGGGGAGCCAGCTGGTGGATTACAACACTATTAAAACACACACTCCATGATAGGCACGGACAAGGCGGACAGGAAAGGGAAATGGGGCGGTCAGGGTGTGATGCTCAGCTAGGAAGACCATGGGGAAGTCTGAACCCTCAGAACTGCCCTTTCTGTTCCTAAGACACTGTAAGTGGCAACAGCTGTTACTACACACGCCCAAGGTCCATACAAGTTCAGGGCTGCAAATGTGTGCCAAGCAAAGGCCAAAGAAGGGGGGAGGGAGATGCAGGGGCAAAACACCTCAATTCTGAGGAAGTAATTTCAAAACTTTGAAACTATCACAACTGAGTAAATAAAAATGGGAGCGACTAATATGGGAACAGGCACCAGCACACTGACACCCTCCGATGCCACGGATGAGTTGAAGCCAAGCCCCGACCATCTCAGGAGCATGCCTACCCCAACCAAACGTCCAGAGCATGCACCTCCACACGGCTCTGCTTCTCCATAAACACGCACATCAAGTGCTCAGACTACAGAAAAGCATGAGTCTGCCATTTTACCAACAATCTGAGGTCAGCTTTGTGAAACTACAAATAAACGTCCTGAACATTAAACGGAACTGCAGGAGTAACAAGACGACAAAGGCAAAGAAAAAACTAGTTCACTGCACACACATCAGCAATGCTTCCTTCAAGGCCAGGCCCTTAACTAGGTCAAAGAGTACATTTAAAACAGAAAATTCTAGATTGTAGTCCATAACGTGGCTACTCTAGAAATCTCCAACATGGCTGTGATCCACATACATCGATGAGTCTAATAAATACTGGGAAGAGAAAATTCAGAAGTAAAGACCTAAGTGAAAAAAGTATATATGAAAATGGTCTTTAAATTCTGTAGCTGTACGGTGAGAAGTTACCTTGACTTGCTGTTGTGATATGTGCAAGATATACAAATATCAAATCGTTATGTTACATACCTAAAACTAATAAAAAGGTTTTAGTATTAACCCAACTTCACTTTTTGGTAAGCAACAGTGAACTATCGTCAAATCAGTTCAGGCTCATCTCAATTACACTTAATCCCACCCAGATGTCCTACAGCCACGTCTAGAGTTACTAATAACTCAAAAAGGAATTAAGAAACTTCACAGGGAACTTTAGTACCAGCAAGCAAACCTACCAGTACTCTATTATTATGCTATATTTAAACGAGGAGATGGTGGTAAGAAAATCTGGAGTTTGGGCACTGAATAATGCTGGTAGACACCTTAAAATGAATTATGGACAAAAAGTACAACATCACACAGGTAAAAATTCCCTAGGAAAATTATATTCACATGAGCCTCTAACATCTTAGCCATGACTCAAGAGCTGTCTCCTAGCTGCTGTAGCCTGGAGGTACGTACTGAAGCCAATATTCTCATACTACAGAGGCCAAACAAGAAAATTAAACACCCACCTGTTTAGAAATCAACTGTCTAAACACAGGAAATACACAACAGACAGAAGTTTTATAATGCATCCACACAAGCACATTGCTCTTTGAAATTTAAAGAGAAAATTTATTGAAGATCTGAAAAACAATTCCTAGAAGGTTGACTTTCCAGAAAACTAGCTACACAACGCATTGCGTCCGTCAAGTTAACGTGCATTAGACACAAACACAGAACCATGAAACAAGCCACCATTCAACAATCTGAGCAAAGATAAAATGCCTAAGGAACATGGATGACTTGCAGAAGATGGGCTCTTTAAGCACCATAAAAAAAAGCACAAATGGACAAGCGTGTTCAGTTATACACACTGAATTGAACCTTTGGCACTAGAATCAGAGCATTCTGTCATATAGCATTAACACGTATTATAAAAGTGCGTAGTGTCAAAGGAAGAGAACCACCAGCATTCAAAAGCAGCTTTGTCAACTAGGCAATAAAACACTCTACAGTATGTCTCTGTTGTCCATCACTGAATACACTGATAGCAACTTTGAAATGGGAAAAAAAAAAAAAAGAAAAAAAAAGAAAAGAAAAAAGGAGCTATAACCCCTTTTATTTTCTCTGTTTAAAATCAAACAGAAAACAAACATTGATTCTGTTATACACTAACATTTTCAAAGTACATCATTTGTACAGAGGACCAGAACAAAAAATGTGTTTACAGAGATCAGGCGGTGAGGGCCAGCGCCTCACACCGCTTTCCGATGGTACTCAGGAGGGGCCACTTCGTAATCGCTGGCACTAAACAAAGTCGCAGAATTCTTTGCCAGGTACCTAAAAAATAAAATGTTACGCATCACAAAGATTTAAAAACTATCTTAATCCATCTCTCTTCTCATTCGCTATATACAGAAGTTGCACTAAGCTCTCTTAACATATATTAAAATGATCACAACCTCACAGAAAAGCCATGTAATCACAACTCAGGTAAGTAGGGTTTTACACCAGACAACAGTGCATACGGCAATGAAGTCCACAGTGACTCCCCTTATTCCAAACAGCAAAAGAACAAACAATTGTCCTCAGAATACCAACGTGACAGCTCGAACTGTATTTAAGAAACAGATGCTGCTTGGTATCTTACAAGAATAACGTATCTAAGTATTTTCTTTAGCTCTTTGAAATTCACTACATTAAATATAGATTCAGAAATAGACAAGTTTCAAGTTTATACTCAAAATGGAACACCATAAGTATCAGAGGGCCCTGAGATGTCAAGCCTAGGACACTTGTATTTAATAAAGAAATTGAGGATGAGGATATTTATCACTGGTAGAGTAAGGACTATAAAGTGGTCTAGATTCCCAGGCCCATGCTGTCATGCTTAAAATTCGTTACTGTAACACAATGATGTCATTTAAGAAAATTCAAATTAAGAAATAAATTAAGTAGAAACATTAAACTTTAATCTTCCTTCCCACCACACGAAATGATCCTGGTTAAATGTGGCCCACACTACACCAGGTCTCTTCCAAAAACATAAATGCATTTCTCTACGAACAGGGAGGTACTACACTTTCTACAGCACTTTGTTTTTTAAAAGACACAACATAGACACCTTAGCTGGTAAGCATATTTAGACCTACTTCATCCCTTTAACAGATGCTAGGCTGTTTAAATTTCTACTACTATAAAAAAGCCAATGCAATAAACATACTTGGAAATCTTTGTACACTGACTTCTATAGGGTAAGTTCTCAGAAGCTGAACTGTCCGCCCAAAGGATGAGGCACATTTGAAATACTAAGCTTTGTCAAAATGCCCCCCAAAAAACCTGTAGAACAATCTTTGACACTAGATATATTATCACAATATTGAACATGTTTTTATAGCCCTTTTTACTGCCACTTCTGTGAATTTCCAATATCCTACTTTCCTTTCCCCTATGGTTGATTCATTTTTTTATTATTAAGAATTCTTTGTGTACAAAAGATACTAGCCCTTCACCATGTAATGCAATCCCCTCGTCTTTAAGGGAGTATTTTAATCACATATTTTTATATAGTCTAGCTTATCAATAACTTAACATATTAATTTTTAGAAAGACCTCTCTCACTACAAATATCATAAAAATGTTAATTTTTTCCTTCATTACCTTAACAGTTTTAATTTTAGATTCAAATTTTTGATTCACCTAGAATTTTGGTGCATGACAGTTAAGTGTGCATTTAACTTTGTTTCTTTCTGAAAAACAGCCTGTTGTTCATACTGCCATCTACTAGGTACCTCATCATTCCCCCCCACTGTTCCAATACCCGTACATTCCAATTCATCATGTGAAACTCCTGTACTTCTGCACTTGTATCGGTCAATCAACAACTCACCTACTCCTATGCCAAGGCCACCATCGTGCCAACCTACAGAGTAATCGTCACCCTGTGGCACTAACAACATTTTAATGTCAAGCATACTCTTACAGACTTACTTGAGGAAATCATGAAGGTAATTCAGTAACAAAGCAAGGCTCTTCTCATCCAGAGGAGTGTAGGCCAGCATGGCGCCAATGCGGACTATTTCAAGGAAAAGAGCTCAGTCAGTCACACGCCAGGCAGCACTTTCAGAAGCACGGATCTTAACTAGACGAGCAGTTCAACTACCACGAATTCCTTTAAAATACATGGTTTCCGAACTCAAACTTTTCACCATTTTAATACTTGACATTTCAGACAGAAGTTCAAACTGAAATCACCATTTTAGAATGTTATTTTGTTACCCCTTGATAGCCACAAGGAAAGACAAAAATGGCTCATTACCAAACAATCTCAGAAGATGTGGTGCTCCATACACCTGGGACATGGGCGCATCAGGGTGATCCGCCAGGATTTCCGCATACTGCGGCCTCTCAAACTTGTAGAGCAGCTGAGTGCCCAGCATTACATTGAAGTATTCCTTTATCCCTGCCACCACCTCATTAACAGCATATTCCCTGATAAATGAACAAACACATCTACTTTCAAAGCAGTTCACTGAAAGAATTGAGATGGAGATTAATGCAGCCAACACAATAGCAAAAGTTTTAAGTTAATGGTTGAATTTATTAATGACAATGAACCTTTACCAAACAGGTTTTTTAAAAACTGGGATCTAACAAGAGAACAAGAAATCAATTCCAGAAATAAATCAGTGGTGAGCAAACTATAACTGTCAGGCTAATGGTTTTCAGATTTTCAAGTAATTTTTTTTAAATGGTTATATATGTCTTACACATAACATCTTTTATTTTACCTAAAGTAACTACTATGTGGCCCTTTAAGAAGGTTTACTAGATTAGACAACCTGACACCCCCACCACCCCCTTAGCCTCAATGAAATTCTATTTTGGTAGTTTCTGGTATTATTTTAGAGTACATGTTTCAGATGATTTATTTGGAAATAAGAATATCTGAAAGATACTTTAAAGATGTATATATTCTTACTTATTATCTGTGTTTCCTCGAGATTTCTTATAATTTGCATAATCCTCTAGAATGGAATCCACATTCTTCTTGGCAGGAAGATAAAAGAGCTATGAAAACAAAACACACCTGAACACCAGCATTTTTTTTAAAGGAAAATTACCCCAGGAAAGTTCTCACACAATACAAGACCACCTGACAGTACTACAACATAGAAACGGTACCATTCAGCACTTGAAACGCAGCTAACGTGGCAAAGGAAGCAAACATTAAGCCAGATTTGCTACGTGCCAGGATGGCCAGTGGCTGCCATGCTCTGAAGCATGCCCCACTTTACAGCACAGCTCCCAAGACAGGTAACGACCTACAAGACACTGTCACTACACACAACTGGACCTATGCATTATGTCTGAATGAAGCATTTATGTGAATTCTCTCTTCACCCTCGCGTCAGTACTGAAGTAGGGACCGTTACTCCACCTCATGTACAAACTGAAGCACAAGGCCAAGTAGCACGTCCCAGCTCACACAGCAGGCGGCAGAGCCAGATCTGAGTCCTCGCAGCCCAGCTCCAGAGCCAAGTCAAGAATCACGTGCCGTCCACGTCATGTTGCATTAAATCTCACAACCCTCTGCAAAAGTTTGTTTCCCCTGCCCCAGCACGTGCTGGAAGAGACCTATCACCTGTTCCCCAGAGCTACTCATTCTGTACTATGACGTTACACACATACCTCGTGTCCCTGTGTCCTGTACATCAGCGTTAGACCTAAGCGCTTGATTTGATTCAGGTCCTTTTGGAGGCCATAAATACCTTGGAGAGGTACTGTGAGGTCCCTAACACATTCTGTTAGCAGTGACATATGTGAGATGTCCCACTTCCAGTTAAGAGTGAGACAGGAAACACATCCTTCTTTGTCTTCATCAATTTAGGATGATTTCTCTGCCCAAGCAACCTCCAGAAACAAGTCATCTCTACCTTTCTTTTATCATTATAAACTCACATATAAACATGATTTCAAGTCATTCTTTCTGATAACCAAACTGTTGTCTCTGAATTAAAATAATACTCATCAATTTAACACCCTGCCTCCACATTAGCAGGAACTTACCATATAGA